GTATGTATGTATATATATATATATATATATATATATATATATATATATATATATATATTACGTACATTACATAATAACCTACATTTGATTTGATATTTAACAACTCTTTCAGAGCTTATGTTTACCACGCAGCTCTTTAAATTAAGCTGTCGCAAATTATCTTCATGATTGAAGTGCTGTTTAGTAATATTAAGTTAGCGCTCCTTTTTACCACAGTGAAAGTCGTGGAGAGAATTTTTGACCTTGGGCGAAATAGATGCAGAAGCTGCTGGATCCACAGGATGGACATCATGGCCGAGGTGTTTGACATGCAATGACTGAAAACCTCCTGAATGAGGATGATTGTAAACGTAGATTACACAATTCCTACACCTTTTTAACTTCACTGCAATGTTCATTTACAACACATGGACATTCTGTATTATGGTTACGTTTTTCAGTACTCATTACAGATAAAACCAAAAAAAATACATAAATAAAAAACCTGGACTTTATTTGTAACTGAAGATGTATCACTTCTCATCCGAGGCTCTTTCTCAATTGAATGAAACGAGGAGTGTGATTCAAGTTATAAAGCTGTGGTGTGCCGTCAGCTTGTATTATGGAGACTGACACATGCAGATCAATCTCCAGCAAGCTTACAGAACACCACAGCTTTATAACTTTAATCCCAGATTCCTTTTTTCATTGAATTGTGAGTGCTCCTCGGATGATTAGCGAAACGTCTTCAGTTTTAAAAAAAGTCCTGTGGTTTTGTTTTTATCTGTTTTGGGGGGGATTTGCCGTGTCAAGGATAACTGAGAATCTTCAGCAGCATTGTTACAGGTAAAAAACAATTACTTCACTTATCTACACTATTGACGTAAAAAAACACTGTAAGCACTTCACTTTTGATGATCAGATGGAAGCTCAAGACTTGAAAATGTTTCTTTTATTAGAAATAAAGACCTGTACAAAAAAACAATTATACACTAATTATATATGCAACCTTAACAAGCTACATGTTTGGCTATTTGTGGGCTTACTTTGCAGGATCTACATTTCTATAGATCAACTATGATCTACTCTAAATATTTTTAAACATGTCTGTTTGCCATGGAACGGGCAATGGATTCCAGCACCCCAAGGAGTGCCTGACTGAAAGCAGCACTCTGTTCAGCCTCCTGCCTTCGCTGTGCTGCTTCCTCTCTGCGAACATCTGCTTCCTCTCTCCTCAAGGCCATCTCCTCCCTCCTAATTGCTTTCTCCTGCTTCCTCGCTGCTGCAGCTTCTTCTTGCCTTGCTTTTTTGGCATCCTCACAAATAAAATGGAAGTGTTCCTCTCTCTGCTTCCAGTTCATCTCCTCTTGTTCTGTATGTGCAGAAACAAAGCTCTCTGCTGCACTTGTTGATCTGCGCTTTCTATTGCCTAGGAATAACACATAAGAAAATGGCTGTTAGATGATGAAGTACAGGTAGAGTTTTTAAATAAATTATTTACATTAAAGTTCCTGCTAATTTCAAAAGGTGTTTGTTCACAAGATCAGAAATGATTCTGTTCATAAAGCAGTCTAGTACTTTAATGATAGTAAGCAGGTGGGCATCAATAAACTACATGTAGTCATTTACAATGGTTTGTGCTCATTTAGAAAAAGAACAGAGCATCGTTAATCTGAACAAAAATCACTACACCCTGTATAATTTCAATAATAAACTTCATAAATGAAAGTTTAAGTAATAAATGAATAACTAAATTTAACAGTTATCCATTACAACTGAATAAACAAGTAGTTTGAATACATGCAAGGTGTTTTACAACAAAAACAAAACAACATTCATATCGACATGATCAATGTGATGTTAAACACGATTGTTGCTTCTTCTTACCTAGTAACAGGTGCTGTTCGGTGCCGCTCTGCTGCGTGTTGCCCGGTGGCGTAGATGTGCCCGGTGGCGTGCATGTGCCTAGTGGCGTAGATGTACTTGGAGCTGGTGTGGTCCGGAAGGGTCAGAAGCGGGGCGGATTGGACAGTCAAAAGCAGAATCTGGCGAACCTTCATGTTCAGTGGGACTTTCTGCATCAAAATAAGAGTGGAAAAACAGCAACAGAGTACAGTTAGCAATGATGCTAACTAATGACGACGTAACCAAGTCAGCCTCGTTTGTGCAGAGTACTTTCAGAAAACGCAAAGAAACGGTTGCATGAGGAAAAGGAAATATGCTTAAAGTAAATAAAATACACTCACCATCAACTATTAGTTTTTTAAGCTTTCCTCTTTGCTTTGGTGTGCGATGGAAGCCCTGCACCGCCATCTGCGCAGACACCTCTTGAAAAATCTTTTCATTTCGTTTCGTTCCATCTAGCTCGCGCTGCACTTGTTCATCGGCCAGCAAACAGAGAAATGCCTGAACTTCAGCATTCGACCACGGTTGTGCCATGATTATTTGTTTTAGCTTATAAAATATTCCAAAATAAGCTCCTCCGATTTCTTGTTGTCTTTTATGTGGGTGAAAATGAAAATGGTGGATTTTGATTTCCGGTGGAAGACTGAATCTCCGCCCTCCACCAATGAATACGCCCCCTGACCAATCAGTGACCTACAGTGCGCTGATGTCACAACTAGACCCTACAAGAACCAGACCTGGGACCTCAGTGATTTAGGTCCCAAAAATGGGGTGGGTTCCACCACTAGAGGCATTGTTGATAAATCACGCAATCGGCCACAACTAGTTACATAGGAGTACCAAAAAGCCCCGTGGATAAGGGGCTTAACAGGTCTTTGAGGGCCAGAATTGTTGCTGATTGGCAGGTGTTCAAATACTTATTTGCAGTAGCAACACACAAATAAATTATTTAAAAATCATACATGGTTATTTCCAGATTTTTTTTTACATTATGTCTCTCACAGTGGACATGCACCTAAGATGAAAATTTCAGACCCCTCCATGATTTCTAAGTGGGAGAACTTGCAAAGTCGCAGGGTGTTCAAGTACTTATTTTCCTCACTGTATAAGGCATTACAGTAATCAAGCCTAGAGCTCACAAAGGCATGGATGGCCTTCTCCAGATCGCTATGGCTAAGGAGTGACTTTACTTTAGAAAGCAGACAGAGCTGAAAGAAGCTGGTTTTCACAACAGAACTGGGAAAAAAAAGCTCTTTCAGTATTAACCTTAACCAAAATAAACATTTTGAAGCCATTCTCACCTCTTTTTCAGTGTCTCTGGAGATGCAGGCCCACTGGTTCTCCTGAACACTATAAGCCCAGAAGTCTGCCAGATCCTGTGTACCATCCCATCCCCCGAACAGGTAAACAGTCTCTGCAGCACAAGTACACAGATTGGCACAAAGGAAATACAACTTTATTAGCATTCATGTAAACTAAAACATTAAACTATACAAAAAAAACTATAATTAAGCAATTGCTGCAAACAGCGTGAGCACAAAACATTATTAAAGACAACAAATATCCAAGATGCACCTTTCAGACAATCATGATACAGCTTGAAACACAGGACCGACCACTCACTCAATTACCCACCCTCCCTCCCTGCCACAGTCGGATAAAAAATAATTTACCCAGGGTTCGACAAAAGGACATTTTTCAGGCTGTCTAGCTGACAACCTATTGACAAAATCTGGTTGTGTGCCAAAATTTTTGGTGGTCTACAAACTACAAAAAAAAATTAAAAAATAAAACTGTAGTATGCTTTTTATAACTGTTTATTGTTGTTGCTGTTGTCCATTGTTTCATCTTTCTTTGTTAAATCAGGTCTCTCTTGTAAATGAGTCCTCGAGGCTCAATGGGATTTACCTGTAGAAATAAAGGTTGATTGATACAATAAAGGCAGCAAAAAAAAAAAAAAAAATACGGTAATCATTTAAGAAGAATATTGCACTACATACAAAGTGTAAGAGCCATATTAGTAAAATAAGTAATTGATGGCTTGACAGGTGAGCACGCAGCTTTGACACTTGGGTGGTGGGTGTGTCAGTGTGTGTGTGTGTTGACCGTCACCAGATATAAATGACGTGCTAACTGGCGTTCTGGTTTTGTATGGATGAGGAAGTTGGGTGCACCCGGGGTCGTCATATTTTCTGTTGACCGTGTTATAAGACGCCGTAGAGTTATGCCATTAAGCATTTATCAGAAGTTTAGACCTGGTCAGTATGTGTCTCGGTCTGTAATGTTTAAAGCATGGAAATTTGAAATGGAATAAACCGATCATGACACAAAGAAGTGACCTGGAGTGACGTCAGTTTGGAAACATGCGTCGGACAGAGATTCCCGAGTTTAACCCAGTGCGGCCCTCAACATCATAAGTTTGCCGCGAAATTACAAAGTTTATAGAAATGTTCTCAGTCAGCCATCTTGTGGATTTCTTGGAATGTCTAAGATACTAAATGGAAGACTTTCAGGAGCTGCTGGAGTAGCACTTCCTTGTTCTCATCTCCTTCCTTGTCAGACTTTGCAAGAGAGGCACTCACACCATATTTAAGGCAACAAAAAAGGTTAAATCATGCCATCTGGACCAGTTTCTTTAAGGGAGAAATGTTTCATCTTTCATTCTGCAGCCTGCCAACCAGATCTGTCCCATAAGTAGCCTTCATTGCTGTGTTTCAAGCCAACCTCCTGATGGAATCACAGAAGCAGGCTTAACACATGCAAAAAGACCGATCCGCCCAAAACAATTAATCATCATGTACAATAAATGTTTTAGTCAAGATGGCCAACTTGCTACTCACAGAAATAGCCTGAGGACACCAAGACCAAAATGGTTCAGAAAAATAGTTTGTAGGCTAAATCACCCAAATACTTAAGGCAGGGATTAAAGCTATTAAAAAATAATAATAAGTTTGTACACATCCTTTATGATTGTCTATTGTTGTCCACTGTTATGACTCCTTGTTAAAATTCAGGTCTCTCTTGTAAATGAGTCCCTGAGACTCAATGGGATTAACCTGTATAAAGGTTGAATGAATGAAAAAAATGCAAGGGATTTAAGAGCAAGGGTGATGTACAGAGTTATAGCAATTACAGGGGAATTAAGCTGATGAGTTAAACAACGAAGATCTGGGAGAAAGTTGTGGAAGCAAAACTTAGACGAGGTGACTATCTGTGAGCAGCAGTATGGTTTCATGCCAAGAAAGAGAACCACAGACGTCATCTTTGTTTTGAGGATGTTGATGAGAAGTACAGAGGGTCAGAAAGAACTTTATTGTGTCTTTGTAGATTTAGAAAAAGCATATGACAAAGTGCCGCGGGAGGAGGTGTGGTATTGCATGAGGAAATCTGGAGTGGCAGAGAAGTATGTTAGACTGGTACAGGACATGTATGATGACAGCAGGACAGTGGTGAGATGTGCTGTAGGAGTGACAGATAGCTTCAAGGTGGAGGTGGAGTGCATCAAGGATGGGCTCTGAGCCCCTTATTGTTTGCTTTAGTGATGGACTGACTAACGATGAGGTCAGGCAAGAATCCCTGCCGACTATGATGTTTGCAGATGACATTGTGATCTGTGGTGAGAACAAGGAACAGGTGGAAGAGAACTTGGGAGAGGTGGAGTTATGCACTTGAAAGAAGAGGAATGAAAGTCAGCCATAGTCAGACAGAGTCCGTGTGTGTAAATGAGAGGGAGGAGGTGGAACAGTGAGGCTAAAAGGAGCAGAGGTCACAAAGGTGCAGGACTTCAAGGACTTGGGGTCCACTGTCCAGGAAAATGGGGAATGTGGTCAAGAGGTGAAGAAGAGAGTCCAAGCAGGATGGAGTGGATGGAGAAAAGTTTCTTGAGTGATTTGTGGCAAAAGGGTGTCAGCAAAAGACAAGACAGTGAAGAAGTCTTTCGGATGAAAGACGAAACGTTTCTAGATTTTTTGTTTTGTTTTGTTTTATGAATGTCCAGAGGACTAGACATAAATTTTTAGATTTTTCTACCTGGATTATTGAGCATGCATCAAGGTATTTTCAAGACAGTGGTGAGACCAGCTATGTTATCAGAGTCAGAGTTTCTTTATTGTCATTCGCACCTCATGTAGTACATGTGGTGGAGCGAAATTATGTACACAAGGTCCCAGTTACATCCAACAATAAAATGTATAAGAAAAACAGTAACAACATCTAAGATATGAACTAAGAAAAACATCAACTAAATATACACTAAGCACTCATAACATAAAACATTGAACATCAGCACAAACATGAACATGAGTCTGTGAGCAGATGTGCACGCATGAACACATCAACATTGAAACAGATCAGCAGCAACATGAAACAGATCAGCAGCAACATGATGTGGTTTTTCACAGTGATTATTCTAGTTAGAGATTCATGAGTCTAACAGCCTCAGGGTAGAAGCTGTTCCTCAGTCTAGTGGTTCTACACTTAATGCTCCTTAACCTCCTTCCTGAGGGGAGTGGGGCAAAAAGTGTGTGCGCTGGGTGAGTGTGGTCCTTCATGATGCAGGTGGCCCTCTTCCTGCATCTGGAGGTGTAGATGTCTGTGATGGTGGGGAGGCTGACTCCAACATCTTCTGTGCAGCCTTCACCACTCTCTGCAAAGCTTTTCTTTCTGCAGCTGTGCACCCTCCATGCCACACGTTGATGCTCGAGCACAGGATGCTCTCCACTACACACCTGTAGAAGGAGGTGAGGACTGAGCTACCCAGACCAGCTCATCTCAGCCGCCTGAGGAAGTAGAGTCTCTGATGAGCTTTCTTGATCAGGCTGGTGGTGTTGTTGCTCCAGCTGAGGTTGTCATTCATGTGTACACCCAAGTACTTGTAGCTGGAGACCACTTCCACCGCAGATCCTCTTATGTTCAGGGGGGTGTAGATGTTTTTGTTCCTTCTGAAGTCCACAATCATCTCCTTTGTCTTCTTCACATTGATGTGAAGGTTGTTCTCTTTGCACCAGCTCTCCAGGTGTTCTACCTCTTGCCTGTAGCTGGACTCATCATTGTTTGTGATGCATCCCACCACCGCTGTATCATCTGCAAACTTTACAATGTGACAGCCTGGATGGGTAGCTGCACAATCATACGTGAGCAGAGTAAACAGGAGGGGGCTCAACACACAGCCATGAGGAGAGCCAGTGCTGAGGGTTATGGTGGAGGAGGAGAGGTAGTGGATCCTCACTAACTGTGGTCTGTTTGTTAAAAAGTCTAGTACCCAGTTTCAAATGGAGGGGCTTAGTCCTAGTGTGGATAGTTTGTCCATCAGGGTTTGGGGGATCATGGTGTTAAAGGCGGATGTGAAGTCCACAAAGAGCATACGGACGTAAGAGTTTTTCTGCTCCAGGTGGTTGAGCACAGTGTGGACCACAGAGGAGATGGCATCCTCTGTTGATCGGTTCTCACGGTATGCATACTGATGAGGGTCCTCGATGTTGATGGTTGTTTTGATGCGAGTCATGACCAGTTTTTCAAAGCATTTAGCGACTATCGGGGTGAGGGCCACTGGCCGATAGTCATTCAGACCAGTCACTGTAGAGCTTTTTGGGACTGGGATGATGGTGGCAGTCTTCAGGCAGGTGGGAACTGTCTCCAGGGTAAGTGAGGTGTTAAAGATGTTTGCCAGCACTTCACAGAGCTGATCAGCACATTCCTTAAACACTTTTCCGGGGATGTTGTCTGGGCCAGTTGCCTTGTGCGGATTAATCCTCCTGAAGGTACTCCTTACTTCTGCTGAGGTCACGCTGAGATTATGGTAAATGGTTACGGTAAATGGACTGTACTTATATAGCGCCTTTCTATCTTATCGAGATCTTACCTGGCGTGTGCTCTCAGATAAATAATTACCTGAATATACACAGTATATATATATATATATATATATATATATATATATATATATATATACACACATATATACATATATATACACATATATACATATATACAAATATATATACATATATACAAATATATACACATATATATACACATATATACACATATATATACACATATATACACATATACATACACATATATACACATATACATACACATATATACACATATACATATACACATATATACACATATATACACATATACATATATACACATATACATATATATACATACATATATACATACATACATACATATACATACATACATAAACATACATATACATACATATACATACATACATAAACATACATATACATACATATATATACATATACATACATACATATACATATACATACATATATACATACATAAACATACATATACATACATATACATACATATACATACATATATACATACATAAACATACATATACATACATA